GACTTCTTAGTTTGCTTTTGGACATAGCTTTTTAATTCTTCTGATTTTTTTTTGTTTATTTTTCTTTGATTTGAATGCAAATTTAAATTTTAAATTGCAGTATTAGTCTTTTTAAAACTCTTTGTCTTACTCTTTTCCCTTTAAATACCATATTTTCATTTTTAGCTTGTTATTTCCATATAACCTCCTATTAATGTTGCCTTGAAGTCATGTCATACTGTCTTCTAATGTAGATGTCAAACTCTTTACAACTTTTTTCTTCCAAGTAATGTAGTTATTAATTTGAACTTCTTTTCTAAACAATACAGTTATGGTGACTGCAATTCTAAAAGATTTGGATTTTATTTTTCATTTTCACTACAAGAAAAACTTTTACAGGCTTTTTTTTTAATTTTCTCTGTATTTCCAGCTCATTAATTAGTAGATTTCTATCTAGATTTGGCATTGCCAATAGACATAAACTCTAGGTTGTTTGGGCCTCAATTTCTGCTTATTTAAAAGCATGTCACATTGAACTATAACATGAAGTGTTGTGTATGGCTTCCAGTTTTATTTGTGCTTGTGCTGTGCCCCTACAATGGTGACCTGCTAGATCTACAGGAGAGCTTCTCCAACCCTTCTGGTCTGATTCTCTGTTACTATGATAATGTGGTATGCACGAAAAAGTTGAATCTAAAATTGTTTTTCCTTTTTGTTTCTCCTTTCAGTTATTTTACTTGACTTTTCAGAAGTATATCTACTAGATTTATTATCTTAATGCACATTTAAAGGGTAATACTAATAGTCGATATAGATGAGCGATTCCAAAATGCAGAATTTAAAAAATAGCACTAATAGAGCTAATATGGCTGACGAGAGTTTCGATTAGCATGGGTCTTGAGTGAAAGAAGAATATAGGAGCTATCTTTTTACATTTACTTAGACACTGCATTATGTTTCTGCAGTGTTGAAGGGATTATTCACCTTTAAACATGTCAAATCAATAAACCAATATTGTGGGTAAAAACTCCTTACATTTTCTGATGACACAGTATATGAAAGTCCTCTACCTAATAGTGACATTTGTTAGTTTGTGGCTGTGTATACTTGTGTGTGTGTGTGTGTGTATTTCTGTTGATGTTATTGCCACTTTTTCCTTTTCTTCTTATTCTCCACTTAAATCCCATATTTTCATTACAGCTTGCTGCATGTCTATTTTCAATAAAAATTGGATAAGGCTATGTTGGGAATTGATCATCAGATATCACTTAAAACCAGAGACACAGTTCATTTTAAGCATGGTGTGATCTGAGGCTCTAGAGAAAGCCCTGCTCTCCATAAACATTGCTTGCCAGATGTTCATGAATGGAAGGTCTTCACATAAACCCTCCTTTATTTTTCCTTTCATTCAGTTGGATTTGACAGATACAGTTGTGCACGTCATGCAGTTTTGGACTACCTGCCATGAATTCTTCCTATCTCAGGAAGCATATTTTCTATTTTCAAGGCAGTTAGCAATGCCTTGTTTCAATGGCAGCCACATAAGCTAGAGGGCCACATTGGATAGCAGGGAGGGAGAACAGAAGTGCTTGCAAGAAAGTGCTTGACAAGCTCAGAGCAGTTGGACTTTTATTTCAATAATTTAATCAGTGAGTTGGGTTCTGTAATAACCAGGTAAGAGGGAAGAACAGAGATTAAAATGCAAAATGCTTACAGTTGTTACAAGTATAGATTTAAATGGAAAATTGTTGAAAGTTAGAGGTCAAGAGTCCTGGTTATTATGTGATGAGGACTCCTCATTTTAGAGATTGAAAACCAAGTTTCTCAGGTCATGTGAGAGTTTAGGGACAGAATTGAGAACAAAATCTAGAATCCAGATTGCGCTTATTTTATAATTCTGAAAGCATCCCAATATTTATATTTAATCTCATGAAGTACTAAAGTAGACATGAGTGTTTTCTGATATATTATTGTAGAGAAGTTAGAATTTTAATATTCTGGTTGTATTTTCATTACAGCAATCTGCCTCAAATCAGAGATGAAATGTTAGGGCTTAGAGTAAATCTCAGGCTCCCCAGGAATCAAGATGTCAGTATTAAAATGCTCTTCTCCTTCCACTCATGCTTAATCATCTAAAACAGGTTGAATTTAAGGATGAGAGGAATATAAATTAAAATTTCTCTTAATATAGCTACTAGAAAGATGACTAGGAAGTATTAGGGATCAGTTTTGAGACTCATCTTCTTCACCCTCCTTCTAAAATTTAATTAGTCATCATATGTTCTGAACTGATGTCATAAAACTCAAGAGTTTGGACCCACTTGATTCTGGTTTGTGAAAAGAGTCTCTGGAGCTAAGCAATGTCGGAAGCAGATGCATTTTACATGAAGCTCTCTCTTACCTTCAGAAACAAGTCTCACAAAATAGAAACAGAATTCATAAAATGTGCTGAATAATGGTGAATATGTATAAAACTATCACCTGCCAAGGGAAACTTTGTAATTAAATTAGTAGAAGTAACTGAATTTATGGAGCTAAAATTTAAGCAATTTCTATATGCACAGCCTGCCAGCCTCAGCACACTGCTTGGGCATTTTGCCTGCTGGTCTTCGACCTAGGATGGCAGCACAGAAACTACCTCATCATTCAATTTGAAAAATCCGATTGACCTATCCATTTTAGGTAGGATGACTCCTGCCTTAGAATTAACTATGGATCTTCCTTCAAAATGAGTTTTGACTGGGGTAGTAACCCTTTAGCTCACATTTTTCATACCATATTTAAATTTTTTTGGATGAAAGGATTCAGAATATATGCATGACTACATGTTTAAAAGGCTAAACTTTTCCACAAGCCTGTGATACTTAGGTTTCTAAGGGGGAAAAAAAAGCATACATTAGAGATTTACCCTTCAGTGATATTTCCCCAAAGCTTTATATATTGTAACTGATCAGATTCTTTGGTGTGAATTGATAGATGCTTGGCTCCACCTCGGCTAGCCAGTGTCATCTGTAATAGCCACCATTATGTGCAATCTCACTGTCACTGGCAGTATACATATTTGTGGAGTGGCATGGGGGCTAATCCATTGCCAGCATGGGTTGCAGCATTACTGACCTTCTAGAAATCAACATGCCCTTTACCTGACTTGAGATAATGTCAAGTGGAGATATGAGCTGATGAGGTTAATAGCTTACAGGACACAACCCATTTTCTTTCTCCCCTTCCCTCTCCTCCTCTTCTCTCTCCTCCTCTCCCCTCCCCTCCCCTCCTCTCCCCAAGGCACTGATCTCAGGAGCACATATTAATAATCCTTCTCCATGTTAGCCACCATCTTTGAAGTCTACTGTTGCAGCAGTCCAACTGGCAGCAATACCTCTCCTTCATTATTGGGTCATATGTTGCTCATCTAAGCTTCCCCTTCACCACCCAAATCGCTGATTGCTGAAAGCCTTGTATCCTTTTTTGGTAACAGGTCTCTTTATTTCCACGGTCTAGAGAACAGGACAATTCTATTTGGTTAAAAACTGCTACTAAACATAGAGCTTCCATATGATCCAGCAATTCCACTCCTAGGTATTTACCCAAAGGACACAGAAACATTAATTCCAAAGGGCACCTGCACCCCTATGTTTATAGCAGCACTGTTTACAATAGCTAAGCTTTGGAAACAACCCAAATGCCCAAAAATAGATGACTGGATCAAGAAGATGTGGACATATACACCATGGAATATTACTCAGCATTCAAAAAAGATAAACACATGCAATTTGCAGCAACATGGATGGTGCTGGAAGGGATCATGCTCAGTGAAATAAGCCAGAAAGAAAAGAAAAATATGGATGGTCTCACTCATAGCAGGAATTTAGAAAACCTAAATAAGAGACCAGGAAAAAGACTAATCAATACAAAGTAAAAATCAAAATCAACAAGCAACTATAAACCAGAGACACACTAAGGGGGGGGGGAGGGAGAGGCAAGGAAAGGAATGACTAGAGTCAAAATAAGGGGGGAGATGCAATTGCATGGGGAATATAACCAAAATGAAAATGCATACATTGTGCAAAGATGAAAAAAGATGTAAGAATTATATAAAATGAAATATTTAAATTAAAAAAAAACTGCTGAGTTACAGAGTAACAAAAGGATCAATCAAGCCAAAATGAGGCCAGCTTCTTGAGCACATCCATTCGGACTCAGGACCACTCTTCTAGAATGGTGTTCCTTCTGACTATCAATAATGAAATTGCTCTGATTGTGCTGGGGGAGTATTTCTCTGCCATGGCATCTGATGGCCTCTTTCTCATATGCAGCATAAACCTTAGGAAAATAGCTCGTCTCTGCTTTGCAGATTCATTAAGTGCATCGACTATCCAAGAAAATTGTACTTGTTATTTATTCCTTCCTTGGATGAATGTATTTTTAAAAATTCAATATTTGTAAACAATTTGATTTCACTGAAAGTTGTTTGACAGATTATTTAATAGGACATTGAATGTTGGGGAGAGATGGCATAATTTCAGTTGCTTGATGTTTTCACTGTCCTTATGAAGTCTCTTTATTCATAAAACAGCATAATTTTAAGCACATTATATTTTATCTCTAAAAAGCACATCATTAAATAGAAAACCTTGCAGTTGAACTATTTTTAGTTCAAAAAGAAGAGCTGAAAAAGACAGTGATAGACATCTTTGACTAAAATTTTCCTACACTACTCACCCTTAAATGAAATGGATGTAAACAGGAACTGCAAAAGGATGGCCTCTAACCAGGAGGGATATTTTTTTCATTGAGATTCTCTGGGGATCGCCTCAAAGTTGATTTAACTCAATGATATTTAAATATGAGAAGGAAAAAACAATCTAAACTTCGAGAATCACTCCGGAAAACATCTGATAAATATTTCTACATATTTTTTATTTAACGTTTTAATTTTTGTACCATGAAAGAAAACAAAACCATTATCAATTATCTAAAACAGTAGTTTGTTTTTTTTTTTAATACTGAAGCTACTTCCCCTCCACCCACCAAACCACTGATTGCTGCAAGCCTTCTATGCTATTTTGATATCAGGTTTATTTATTTTAGTGGTCCAGAGAATAGGACAGTTGTACCTGGTTAGGAATTGCTAAGTTACAGAGTAACAAAAGGATCAAGCAAGCAGAAATGACATCAGGCTTCATGGGCTAATATATTATTTTGTTGCATGGATATTTTTATAGAAAGTGTGTTCTCCTGCATCACATTCCTGGACTTCAGGAGTTTTGAAGATTTGTTATGAAACCAATGCGTAAAGAAAACATGTGAACATAGACTGGAAAGAATAATGGAAACTAGCATGTATTGACCATGTGTATCTGGCACAGTGCTAGATACCTTATCTCACACTCCATAGAACCTAGGAGAAGCTTGAGTTATTGAGCACACTTTACAGAGAACTTAGAAACTTAGTCAACATCACACTGTTAAGAAAAGGAGTGATGATTCAAAGCAAATTTTTGCTGACACACTCATTCCCAGTAATGAGTGTTTAGCAATGAAACAATTGTTGATTTTGACATGCAATTTCTTCAACTATAAGCTGGAGAACTAGATACCCTTGCTTTGCAAGCTGCTCTGTATCCATTGTTCTGGCCTTATTTGACTGAGGCTATTTTTCAGATGTAAGAACATGTTCATTTGTGCTTCAAAGCTTAAGTTGCAAGTATGTTCTCAGCTATAGTTGTCAGGGTAAATCACTGAACTTTTTCAACAGGAGAAAGTAAAGATGTTTTAATATGGATAACAGTAATGAAGAGATTAAGTGGCAAATGGGTAAAATAAAGTGTCAGTCAAGTAACAGAAAAATCTTCCACTTGGGGGCATTATACTCATCAAGTATGAATCTGTATTGTATGACCCCTCAAAAGTAGGAAGGGGGACAAAACAATGAATACATGCATATAAGACTTGTGCTTATAAGCATATGGAAAATACATGGTAGCTTATCACTCTTTTCCTTTTACAAGTTTCTTCCTAATGCTTCAAAAAACTGTAATGATAAACTGTTATTTGAGGAAATTATCAAATTTTACCTAACCATTCTTCTCAAATTATGCAGCTCATCTCCTGAAATGCTTTATTGTAGCAGGTACTTTTAGTGTCTCACCTCTTTCCCCATAGGCCTGACCAACTTTCTCTGACCCACCTAATTCTGCTGTGCTCTCAAAGAGAACAGGCCAGAAATACAAAGGAACAAACATTCCTCTGGGAATAGCCCTCAACTAATGACTGATGGCAGCTGGTGTCTAACTCCCCCAGTTCGCTCTCCCATCGAGTTGGGTAACACTGAGAGGCATCTTTTCCACATGCTCCTGGAGCTGCTTAGTCTGATTAGCTTTATAACCACACTTGTGCTGGCTGAGTAGAACACAATTTTACTGAAACATAATCATTCGTTACTGTATGAGTCTAGCATTATCTAATTCCAGGCAGTTCACTTACAATCACTCATATGATTGGAAAGAGCGCAGGTCTGGCTGAGTGTGTTAATTATGTACCTCCACAAGGATGCAGCACATGTAAGACCTGCTCTCCAGGTGCTGAAAGGGAGAAGATCCAAACATCTTTGAGTGAGAGTTACAGTATTTGTGGAAACTCCTGAAAATTACACAGTCATTCAATATTGAGCAAGTGTTTGCCTGCCTCCTGTGTGTCCGACGCTTTGCCTGGAGCTGGGGCCAGAGTTGTTTTGGTTCTCATGAAGCTTCCAGCCTAGAATAAGTCAAAAGGTTTAGTTATAAAATGTGTTAAGTTCTAAGAAGAAAAAAAGTGCCATGAGAAGTTTACTTATAGCCTGACATTACCTTAGCAGGAAAATCTATCTCTGAATTAAGTCAGATTAGGGAGAACTGTATGTCGACTGCAATATACTGTCGTTGGGTGAAGTGATTTTTACCCATCTCTGTGTTGTCATGAGCTTATTGGAAGGCATGTTATATAGAAGCAGTACAACCACACATCACTGTGTTTATTTGAAGGATGGTATGAAGGGTATTTGTTAAATAAATCTCATAGTATTCAATATGGATGCAGTGATTTCTCTCCTCGTCTCATTGTGAGGCAATTTGTGCTTGTCCAGATCAACTGCTTTGCTTTTAACTCATGAACACTGTGATTCAATGTTTTCCAGTTCTGTTACCTGCTAGGAAGCATAAGACACATTTCAGTGGCTGGTCTGTCTCCTGGGAGTTTATAGGGTTTCACTGCCTATCTGTTTTGTGGCTATGACTCTGGCTATTCACTTTATTTGTCCGCTATTATTTCCCTTTGTTATGTTTCTCTTACTTTTTAATAAAAATTGTCTTTCTAGATTGCCTGACACAAACCTTTCCAGAATAAAACTATGTATAAATAATCTAAAGTATAAAATGATTGGAATTCACAATGCAAAATTTACCCCGATTTCATAAATTTAAACTGCCATTAGTTGGATTGTTTATTTGTTTCACTTGTCAGTCTATGTCTATCTTAGGCAGTGACTATGAAATGTGTACCTAAAGTTATAAACATATTGTGGCAACATTTGAATAGCTTTGAATTTATTTCAAGTCCAAAATCACCTTTACATATATGGATCATAAGGGATGAAACCAAATGGTTACATCTTCATATTTTTTACACTGAATAAATTAATTTCTTATGTCCTTTGCATGCCAATCCCCTATTCATAAAATATCAGGGGGAGTAGTTTTTCAAACTCAAGGAGAATGCTCTGAGTTTAATATTTATAGGTACAAAGAAAATAAAAATCATCCAGCAATTGACAGGCTAAGCAGAAGAACCCAGGTTCTCAAAGTTGCAGGGTTTTAGATCTTACCAAAATTGATGGAGACCTCAGTCTTTTATAGTCCGTAAGTAAAGTCCTGAGATTTAATGGGCTTGTGAATTGGGGATTTACACAATTACAAAGCCACTTTTGTGGAAACATGGCCACTCACATCTGTCTATGGACCATTATGTCTACATTCTGTCAACAGACCATTATGACTATAACAATTTTTTGAGTAAACCAGCCTTTGTAATATCACCTGAGATGATCTACCTGCATGGTTCAAACTAGTCAGATTTGTGGCAAGTTAGTCTTTTTTTAAGCTCTGTTTTTATTTAGTCTTAAAAAAAGAACAAATGACAGAAATAGTTGACCTATGTGTTACTCCAGAAGTATAATAGGCAGAGAGTTATTCTTTGAAAATATAAGAAATCTATAGACAATAAAATGGCTTCGGGCACTTTACTTTTCTTAAATATTTTATTTCATTTGCTGTCTCTTATGTACATGATATTCAAATAAATATAACCCAGAATTATTTACAACAATCTTCTTCATCATTCCTGCACTTTTCCTACAAGAGACTTATTTTTAACAAGACTCATGAAGAGACATGAGTGATATTAAATCCTTTAAAATCCATTCTGGCTGTGGGCTGTATGACATTGGGCTTCCTCATTTATCTGAAGATATAAGACAAAATCATCCTATATTTAAAAATAATTCCAACAGTAAGAATGTCTACAACCCATCATATGCAATAACAATTCAAACTGATTGGTAGTAAAATCAGAATGATAATTGATGTTAAATTAGTCACTGAAGCAAGCTGGCTGGAGCAATAGACTGTGACTGTATAACTTGTTGACTGTGAAAGCATTTAAGTTAGAAAATGGAGTTCCTGGGAATTAAGTTTTTTGGTGGGCTGTTGTGGTAACAGGCAAGTCTGGCCTTAGATTATGTGTTCTGAAATGACGAGGGGTTTTATTCTCCAAGGCTGTCATTCTAGTATTTTCCACAGGCACATAATTGAATTTCCAAAAGCCTAGCCCTGGAACAGCCAAGCCCAACATCCTCTCTTGGCTTCCATTCTCTGCCTTTTTTTCTACTGAATAAAGCCCACTGAGAATGGCTAGATTGTAGTTTATTATGTTGTCCTGATTATGAATCAGTGCAATTTACAAATGTTTTGCATTTGAAACCTGGAGTTGTTTTAGGCTTATTTGCTGACATATGTGAATTGCTAGAAAGGGCCGGGATCAAATGACATCCACCATCTGTGGAGGGTATTATGTCTACAGCTAAGAACTGGAAACAGGTTTGCAAAGTGAATTGAACCTACTCAAGTCCAAAAGCAAAAGTGAACATTTATTCCTGCAAAATATGTCCCAAATCTTTAAGTTTAGAATTATATATACTCTTAAATTGAAATGATTTATTAATTTATTAATATATACCTATGCTAATGTCAAATTTAAATAATGAGCAATATTTAAGAACAAAGTTTGGATTTCAGGGCCGTTTTTTGGATAAGAGAAATTGTGAAACAAGAAAAAGTAAGAGTTATTAAGTTCTTATTAAGAGAAGTTATTAGAAATGTGAAATGAGCAGCAATGTTACCATAATATTTTTAAGACTCTTAAATCTTGTCCCCTTTTATTATCATATATAAAATTTTAAGTTCAGATCTCATATTTCCATTAAAACCTGTTTTTCAACATGATTCTCTCTTATATTCCTTGTTGTCATGTAAGTTACAGTCCATAACTATACCAAGAATTAATCTTGTTTTCAGTTTTAGAAATGAGAGTGAAGCCTTTGTGGGTATTTTTTTTTTTTTTGGTAGAGATCAGGAGGCAGAGAAGGGTAAGATTATTTCAAATCACATCATAGTAGACATAATATAGTCCCTATATGTAACCATTCTTATTTATTTTGAAATGGACTTTAAATTTATTTTTTGTATGGGTGGAATGTAGGACATTCATAAAAATTACAACCAGTTTTAAAATCATTAAGTTCAATTTGTTATCTACTAATCTTAGTGTTGAAGTAACTTAGCTTTCATTTATTTAGCAAATATTAAGTAAACATCTATCATATTCCAGGTGCTGCTACCAAACTTAGGTCTAAAACAACATCCTTATTATAGTCCTTCCTACATCCTCATGGGGAAGACAGAAAATAAACTAACAAATCTACATGTCAGGTAGTAAATGCCACAAAGAAAAATGAGCCAGGGTAAAGGGATTGAAGAAGATTTTGATGGTATGCTAGGTGATCAGGAAAGGACTCAGGAAATTAGATTTGACCAGCATTTGAATTATGGAACAATTCATGCAAATAACTTGGGAAGAACAGACAACCAGTGCAAAGGCCCTGAGGCAGGAGTGCACTAAGTGTATCTGCAGAATAATAAAGGTACAGTGTTGTTCTTTAGCATGCAGAGGGGGATGGCAAGAAAGTACATCACATATTTGTACTTGGGCCTCAAGGGCCAAAGTCAGGACTTTCGGATTTTTTATTGTAGAAAAAATACCTAACAAAATGTACCATCTTAACAGAGAGCATAATTTACAGTTTAAATTGTACACCTGTATAGTTTAATAGTCAAGTATATTTACATTGTTATGAAAGAAATCTTTTTCATCCTGCAAATCTGAAACTCGATACCCATTAAACCACCCCCTATGAATTTGACTTATTTAGATACCTCATAGAAGTACAGTCAGATAGTATTTGTCTTTTCATGGTTACTTATTTCACTTAGTCTAATATCCTCAAGGTCCTTCTATGTGGTAGCATACAACAGAAATTCTTTCCTTTTTTAAGGTTGAATTATTATGTTTTATGTTAATAACACATTTTATCTATTCATAACATCTATACATATAAAATCTTAGGAATTTTTTGACTCCTCTTTTTGCTGCTTTTGTCATCTATATTTTTGCAGGCATTTTAAAAGCATTTTACATTGTAAACAATACCTTCTGGCTATTTCTCTTTTCTACAGAAAGCTGTTTTTATCCTCTCTTCTAAAACAACTTCTCTCTCATCTCACCTTAACTTCTGTCACTGTTGTTGCCATACTCTTCCCCATACTGTGCTTCGTTACTGGTGCTCATGGTGGTTAAGACAAATCATTATTTATGTAACCATTTCTTTTGTACCTGTCTTATACTATTAGTATTAGCATCTAGCACAAAATAGACCTTTGAACAGGCATATGTGTGTGATGTTTATTGAATGAGCACTGAGAATCTGTGTCTTTTGCTTCTATGGTTCACTCGCCTTTATAACTAGCTCTGAGTAATGGAAAAAACTTTCCTCATAAAGCCTCAATAATGGAAGACAAGAAAAAGTCTTTTTAGGGCAATGGCAATATCATTTGGACTACCAACTAATATGTAAATAAGGAACACAGAACAGAATATCATCACTTCATAAAGTGATATAAAGATGTATCTGCAAGTGGCATATCACGATGCTCATGCATTAAATAACATCAGTGCTGATAGTGCCATGATACAGATGAATATACTTATAGCAGTTGGAAAAATGCATTTTATTTATTATTATTATTTTTACATTTTCAAAGGACAGGTTTATTAGGAAAAGGAGAAAGACGAAGAGGCACCTGAATAGTCAGAGAGGGGCAGGAGAGCTGCCGGAAAAAAAAAAAAAAACTTTAAAACAGAATTAGAAAGAGCTCATGAATGAGATATATGTAAACATGTATTTATGTTTTGATACTTAGATTTTGGAGGAAGGGAATTCTAGGTAGAGGAACAGTCAAAGCAAAGACAGAAAAACAAGAGATTAAAGACAGACATGTAGGCTGGATTTCTAATGAAATAGTTTGACATAATATCTGGGTATTTTAAGTATTCTGTTGGGGAGAAATGGAATATGTGTGAGGGAAGAAGGTTAATACTGCTTGGTA